AGTTGCATGTTGCCTTATACTGTGATAGCAAAGATTCCTTGTAGATAACAGCAAATCCAGTTTATTATGAGAGAACAAAACATATTGAAATAGATTGTCATTTAATAAGGGAGAAGATTCAAATGGGGATGGTTAAAACAATGCACATATGCTCCAAGGACCAACTGGTAGATGTACTAATGAAAGGATTGGCAAGGTCACAACATGAGTATTTGATGTCTAAGCTGGGAGTGCTCAATGTGTATGCACCTACTAGCTTGAAGGGGAGTGTTGAGAAGGAAATAACTTCTCACGTGAGGAGCACATGTGGTGGTTAGTTAGTTAGGAGATAACAGATTATTGTTATTTGTTAAGTGATTAGTACAACTATAATTAGTTATCATTAGTTAGGATAGTTAGTGAGCATCATAATAAGGGGCTATGTACATATTTCATTTACAGTTTTTCAATACAACAGTAAAGTCGGTTACTCCATTCCCTCTCTTTTCTCCTTCATTTCTTCTTCTAAGAAGCTAAGCTTCTATGGCTGTCACCTCCTAAATTCGACAAACACTTACCTCAGTAGATCCGGACCATCGATGGCATAGTGCATTACCAAGACCATGGTCACAAACGACATTGTTTTAAACATTAACTTAAAACTATTGTTGTAAGCATGTTTGATCTATATTAACAAGTGTTTACGTTCACTTCTACTAACCTTGTAACACGTGTCCACAACATTCTTTAAAGTTTGGGTAGACTTTTTTATTTGCTCATTTGAGGCATTCTCTCGTTCCAATCAAATTTGGTAGTACCTTCCTTCCATGATATAGATAATTTACTTTCACGTCTATTTTCCATCACCTACGGCAATGTTGGCATCGTTGCCACAGATCCACTATCCGTGAAATCGATTCTTGGATAATTCGTATTCTCATGCACCAATTACAGATAAATAGCACCAGTATTAGTATGCAATGTATGCCTTAAAGTTCTCATGCATTAGCTTCATCCCAAAGTACCAATCTATAGGCATGCTTACTGTTAGACCTCCGCCACTTTGAGCTCGACTTGACAACGAGAGCGTTGTCATGAGACAGCAAGAGTGTTGCAAGGCAGGTGCACGAGTAGCACCAAGTCAAAAAGGGAAATGGGCAAGTGATGGCCAAGGCTTTGACGGAGGCGAGGCATCTTGGCAAGGGCTTGACAATGAGTTGCGGGCTGAGGGTGACACTTGATCATGGAAAAGGCTTCAAGGCATGAGGCAGTGATGCCAAGGCAAGGCAAAAACGAAGTGGCAAAGGCAGGCTAAAGTGCAACGGAAGATAGTGCGCGGGACAGACTTGTCATGGCATTGGGGCGCGGCAAAGGGCCATGTTCGTGGGCAATGGCATAAGCAAAATGTGGCTACAATGCAGCTGGATTCAATGGCATTGGCGCCTGATTCAAGCCAAGGCACGAAAATGGGCACCAAGCTTCACATTGACCAAGTCAAGAGCGATTATGGCACATGCTGTGCACATGGGCAGCAGTTGGCTTTGTACAACATGCTGGCAAATGGGAGTTAGCACGTTTTTAGCCATGTTTCCATTATTATTGGCATGATCTTTACATGTTCCTAGTAGTTGGGGGTTGTCAACTACATTAGGCTAAAATAGTGGGTTGTGTGGGACTAGTGTCTAAGCCTAAGACAACTAATGTAAGAAAAAGGGGTTGGTTCATGTGTTTTAAATGGGCAGCACCCTTTATGTTTGTGGCATGAGTGAAAAAAGTGTAAGAGTACACATTGAGTTAGGAAAGAGTCCTAAGTCTGGTTTTCAAGAGTTAAAACACCTAAGGCTAAGAGTAGCCTTGTGAGAGTCAAGAGTGATCTTCTTGTACACGGTATTGTACTTCGAGTTTGAGTTTCTTTGTATGCTCGAGTTAAATACAAAGTTGGGAAAAGAGTTTCCTGTGTATTGTGCTTTGTGTTCATCTAAATTTCTGTTGCCTTTACTTATTTTTCGTTGCCTAAAATCAGTCCTAAACTTACTACGTTGAAAGCTGTCTAAAATATTCTAAGTCCAAAGTTGCTAAAATTTTGGCTAAGTGTTGGAGCAGGCTGAAGTCAAGTGTGAGACTTGGCTGCCACGCGGGCTGTTTTTGTGTGACATAAAACACACCTGTGACAACTGGTATCAGAGCGGAGCAGGCTCATGACAGAGACACGACGGGCAGTGGCAGATTTCGTGGTCATGTTTGAGAACATGGCCGGTGGTAACAACGAACTGCGGGAAAGGCTAACGAAACTGGAGGCATTTGTGGGAAATGTTCCTGAAGGTGAAGAAATTCAGACTCTCGTGACAAGGCTTGCCTACCTTGAGGCAGAATTGGCAAGGCTAAGTCAAGAGAATGCGGATTTGAAAGCCGAGATAGTGGTACTGTGACGTGCTGTGGGCGAGGATGCTCCTCAACGTAGTGTTGATCGTCTCAAGGTGAAAATTCCTGAACCTAAGGCATTTGGTGGTGCAAGGAGTGCACGTGAATTGGAGAATTTTCTTTGGGATATGGAACGGTACTTTCATGGTATTCGTGTGCAAGACAAGAAGGAAAAAGTAACCTTGACTAGCATGTATTTGAGTGAAGATGCTATGTTATGGTGGCTCATTCGTGTGGCTGAAGATGAAAGTTTGGGCGGACCAAAGATTGAGTCGTGGGAGCGGCTTAAAAAGGATTTGAAGGATCAGTTCCTTCCTAGCAATACATCTTGGATTGCTAGGGACAAACTGAAAAAGTTGAAGCAAACTGGATCAGTTTGGGCATATGTCAAAGAGTTCACTTCTTTGATGTTGAGTATCAGCAATATGTCAGAAGAAGACAAATTACACAACTTCATGTGCGGGCTGCAACAGTGGGCATAATTGGAGTTGCGAAGGCAGAATATTCAAAACCTCGCAAGTGTTGTGGCTGCGACTAATGCATTGGGCGATTTTCACTTGAGTGATGAGATTTCTGCTTCAAAGTCAAATGACGGAAAGAAGGACAAGGCAAAGGAGTGGAAGAAATGTGAAAACAATAATGCTAATGAAGACAAGGGGAAGGGAAAGCATGAGGCTGGAACTTCAAAATGCAAGGAGAAGGGCAGCAAATTCAGTGGTTGTTTCCTTTGTGATGGGCCACATCGAGCAAGGGACTGCCCGAAGAAGGCAGTGTTAAATGCTATGACTGCCGCGGACAAGAGAGCTGTATTAGAGGCAATAACCAGCGACAAACAAGTGGCTGGAGTGAATGCAATTGTAGATGAAGAGAAGTGAGGCCAAGGGGCGTTGCTTGTTAACCCCTTAGGACTCAAAAATTGAGCTAACCTCGACGAGGACGTCGAGTTTCAAAAGGTGTGGGTGGTTTGTTAAACCTCCACCACTTTGAGCTCGACTAGACAACGAGAGCGTTGTCATGAGGCAGCAAGAGTGTTGCAAGGCAGGTGCATGAGTAGCACCAAGTCAAAAAGGAAAACGGGCAAGTGATGGCCAAGGCTTTGATGGAGGCGAGGCATCTTGGCAAGGGCTTGACAATGAGTTGCGGGCTAAGGGTGACACTTGATCATGGCAAAGGCATCAAGGCATGAGGCAGTGATGCCAAGGCAAGGCAAAAACGAAGTGGCAAAGGCAGGCTAAAGTGCAAAGGAAGGCAGTGCGTGGGACAGACTTGTCATGGCATTGGGGCGCGGGAAAGGGCCATTTCCGTGGGCAATGGCATAGGCAAAATGTGGCTACAATGCAGCTGGATACAATGGCATTGGCGCCAGATTCAAGACAAGGCACGAAAATGGGCACCAAGCTTCAGATTGACCAAGTCAAGAGCGGTTACAGCACATGCTGTGCACATGGGCAGCAGTTGGCTTTGTACAAAATGCTGGCAGATGGGAGTTAGCACGTTTTTAGCCATGTTTCCATTATTATTGGCATGATCTTTGCATGTTCCTAGTAGTTAGGGGTTGTCAACTACATTAGGCTAAAATAGTGGGCTGTGTGGGACAAGTGTCGAAGCCAAGCAACTAATGTAAGAAAAAGGGGCTGGTTCATGTGTTTTAAATGGGCAGCACCCTTTATGTTTGTGGCATGAGTGAAAAACGTGTAAGAGTACACATTGAGTTAGGAAAGAGTCCTAAGTCTGGTTTTCAAGAGTGAAAACACCTAAGGCTAAGAGTAGTCTTGTGAGGGTCAAGAGTGATCTTCTTGTACACGGCATTGTACTTCGAGTTTGAGTTTCTTTGTATGCTCGAGTTAAATACAAAGTTGGGAACAGAGTTTCCTATATATTGTGCTTTGTGTTCATCTAAATTTCTGTTGCCTTTACTTATTTTTCGTTGCCTAAAATCAGTCCTAAACTTGCTACGTTGAAAGCTGTCTAAAATATTCTAAGTCCAAAGTTGCTGAAATTTTGGCTAAGTGTTGGAGCAGGCTGAAGTCAAGTGTGAGACTTGGCTATCGCGCAGGCTGTTTTTGTGTGACATAAAACACGCCTGTGACACTTACCACCCTAGCCCGTAGGTACACAACGTTCAAATACTGATGAGATCCTCGTGATACTAGCACATCCTAAACTTGACATTTGTTTCTCAAACCGAGTTCCTTATTACATTCAGAGGGATCAACTTGTAGTTCTCGAGGACCACTCCTCGATCATGGAATGTGCATTATATTACTGTTCCTTATTACACTCATCTCAATCTAGGGATGTGCATTACGTCGTTCTTTCCTGTCTCGCTTTGCGCTAAATGTGCACAGTTAACATCCTTATTGTGTCACATTACTGTTTGTTTGTGATAGAATTGCGTGATACCGTAAGACATATCTTTTGAGTTAGCTCCACCTGTACGTCATACATTACTAGTCGTACGAACTTATCCGTCACGGTGCCAAGTCATGACCATTCTTTATGAGTTTTGATTAAAACGGAACAAATGGCTATGTGTAGACGATATTAAAGTTCAAATTCTAAATACCAGTCCATGTATAAAGTTCTAATTAAGATTCTTCTAATTTTAACTCTATAAATGCAAGAAAAAGATATGGAAGTGGTTAGTTTTCAAGAATTAAAGAATCAGATATACATTTTTGTATGAAGGAAAAAGGAGGACAATACAAATAAACAACATTTATTCTGTCTATGTCTTGACTGAACGATATACATGTCGAAGTGTCGATAAGAATCCTCTAAATGACTTTTCCTTGAGACGATAGTCTCGTTCATCTCGAACCTGTCACATATATCAAGTTTTACCAAGATATTAGAATGTTTTAAGTGTTTATTAAAAAATATGGGAAATTATACAAATCGAAGGCAAGATAGTTAAAAAGTTAGCTAGTTTGAATTCACGTGCATGCATTAAACACATATATACCTCTTTTGCTATTTGCTGCAGTGTCTGTATTATTTCGGAAAACTCAGGTCTGAATGTGGGGTCTTGCTGCCAGCATCTCTCAAGAAGCTGAGCAAGTTCGGGATGAGTGCGCTTTGTTATAGTTGGTCGCAAACCCTGAAATCAAATTAGAAAGGATCAAGTTACTAATAATATAATGTCTTTTCTATTGGGGATACGTTTGTCAGAGTTATTACCTCCTGGACCACTCCCATAGCAGCTTGTATTGGGGTCAAGTACTCGTATGGATACTGGAACTCAAATTTAGAGATCATAAGTATAACTCAATGACATAAACAACAAACAACTCCAAACCGTCATATTATTAAGTACCTTTCCAGTAAGCAACTCCCGTAACATAATCCCAAAACTGAAAATATCTGCTTTGTGATCATATGGTTTGTGTTCAACAACCTTCAAGAAGAAAACGCTACTATAAGCGAATGCAGGATCGTGACTTTCCAACTAGGAAAAATAAAACTGAATTATAGCTTGGGAATAATTATTCAAAAGAACATAAGAAATTAAGTTCATACATAACTAGCCACGTATTCCCCATTTTCATGTCCTCAGCTAGAACAAAATGTTAGTGCACGTACTCCATTTGGTATACGGAACAAACTGGCATAAGACCTAGAAAAGGAAGTATAGGTAGGGAGCTCTCTCGAAAAGGTCAATATATAAGGCTGTCAACTTTGTACATACCATAAATTAGTCTTGAAGGGAGGACTATTTTCAGAACTGTCCTATATTATATTAACTCATGGAAGATTGTTGCATAGATTGGGTTCCATCCTTTATTTAGAACTAATCTGAGAAAGATAGTGACTAACCAGTATTGGAACTGCTAAAATGTTAAAAAGAAAAACCAATTGAATAAAATACTGAAGCCACATATAGAAGAAACGTAGCATATTTAATGCGAAAATTCTGGAGGCTGCTCTGTTTGGAGTTAGCTGGTGTTTGTCTCAGGGTCTAGCCAATGTTAACCTGGAGATGGATTCTATATATGATTATAATGGATATGATCAAAGAGAGAACTGGAATTATATTCCATGTGAACTGGAGGAGAAGGTTACAAGAATCAGACATTTTATTGAGAAGTTGAAGATGAATATAATGTCTAACATTGTTTCAGGGAAGTAATGAAATGGAGTTTAGCTAAGTATGGAAGCTCAGTGCTGAGCACAGAAATATTTCAAACGGCTCAGGAACTACCTAGGGGTGTTTACAGAATGGATATTCTTCAACTGCCTACTTTCAGAATTAGGCAACTTAAAAGGAAGCAGCAACTATATCTGGTACATGATGGGATATTTTTTGTGTAAATTTTGGTGTATGGACTATCCCCTTGTAATATGGATAGCCCATAATGAAATTCGGGCACAATAGGTTGCTATAATGTTGGTCACAAAATTGAGCATACCTCGGGGGCCATCCATCTATATGTCCCAGTCTCTCCGGTCATGACTCCGGATTGTGCCTTTATTCTTGCAACACCAAAGTCAGCCACTTTAACAACCTGAAAAGGTAAAGCTTATATTGGTAAAACTTGATGCAACAGACTAGTATGGCTTTAACATAGCAGGTTTATTAAACTTATACAAGGACAACACTTGCAAGTTGGTCATTTAAAATAACATTAAATTACAAATAAAACTGATAGAAATAAAATAGGGTGTTGCCTATCATACGACGATGATAAGGCTTATTGAGTAGGTTCTTGCAGTGGAAAAAGGAAAAGGATTCATACACCGGACTAGCAAATTAAAGCAGATTGTTAATTCAAACTACTGAAAATACGATCTTAAACCTCAGCCATCCCGACTGATTTTATTGGCAGGAAGGATGAGGCCTAAATCAGAATCCGACAAAAGAACTACAGATACAACCAAGAACAAGATGTGCAAGAAACTCAAATATTTTGCCAGTCAGAAAATTCAGTACAGGTTTCAAATTCAACTGATACTGTCTAATTTCACGACGATACTTAGCTGAAATCTAGTACAATGCCATGACTAAAAAGCAATTAAAAGAAAGATAAAAATTATACCCTTGTTTCATGCACACTTTATATCCGAAAACATTAAATTGCACGCACCATGTCAACCTTTTCGACGCTACTGTTTTTGACCACAAAAAATTTGAGTGCTTCATTAATTAACTACGTTTTCCTAGCTCCTTATGTTGTATGTACTAACTACTAGAAATAATCTAGTAGTATTTTCCCTTTCCTTGCCTTTCACCTAGAACAAGGAAAAAACTTTGATCATGCTAGCTCAACCTGAAACATGGTGTTTCCGCTAAATTTATGTTACTATTATTGTGCAAGCAAAGATGAGATTTTAAACTTTTTATGAAATGCTCAAAACCAAAAGATGGTTATCTTCAAGATTTACAATCAAACAGAGCAATTGAAGATTTGTTCAGCATAACTCCTACAGGACAGTGTTTCTATTTTGGCATATGCACGTTGCAGGTTCAACAAGTCTGTCAATAAGCAGAGCGTTGAACTTAAGAAAAGAAATAGATAACATTATAAGTCAAGGATGCTATTTGACCCCATATGTATGTATGTATGTATGTATGCATGCATGCATGCATGCATGTTTGTATGTGTTGGATACATGTATGTATGTATCCTTGGGCATAATTTCCGGTAGCTCTGTGATGAACAACAGAAGATTTAATTCTTCAAACCTTATGATGTTGTCCTCAGAGAATAGTGGCCGGATGGAGATGCAACAATTTACGATCATACAATCCTATTTAATTAGAAATGGACTTGTAGACATTAATGAATCATGATATAATATAGTAAAACGTCATCGCAATGAGACAGCAAAAGAAATTCACACAAATGTTCTGCTTAATGAGATAGTTTCTTACTCTATTTTCATCCATCAGTAGATTGGCAGGCTTCAAGTCCCTATGCATAATATTGTTTTGATGCAGATAGTTCATCCCTTTTGATACATCAATTGCCACTTTAAGCAAAGCAGGTAGTTTAAAGCTGTGCCCTTTCTTGTGCAAGTAATCATATACACTTCCTCCAGACATGTATTCTACAGTTAGGACAGTAGAAAAAAAAAAGAAAATAGTGAGAGACTCAACCGTGAAAATGAAGAGAAAATAGCATTCAAAAACAGTAAAATTAGTAATCTTGAAACAATCTTTTTGCGTGATAAGCGAAAATAGCCACTTAAATACCTGTTACTATACACAAATTTGGAGGCCTAGTACATGCCCCTATAAATCGGACCACACTCTGGTGACAAAGTTTTCTGCAAGTAAAAGGGACTAAAGTATAAAATAAAACCTCAAAGTGATGGATAAACTCATTTACCTTGCGACCCAACTCTGTACCCCCAAAAGAAGTATAAGGAAAAGAGAACAAATGCGTTGAAAGAAACAGACTGAATGACTGGTGTAATTACTCGAGATGACTAGGAATTGCTGTCTGAATATGGATTTAGATGCATAGGTAAATCAGCAAGTTCCTAATATTCCCTAAACTATTTCTTCCCAAGAGAACAGAAATGCACATGCACAATTATACATGCAGCAGTAAAGCAGTAAGAAATTATATTGCCATTGTAGTCCAGAACCAGCCAATAGCATGTTAACAAGAATGGTTTTTTTCCAGAATAATTACAAAATCACAGAACTTGCTCCTTCACAAGCTACAGAGTGATCGAGACAATAAAACCACATAAATGAGGTGTTTAATTAAGACTCAACAGCTAGTTACAAATGTTCTCGAAGCAAGGACATTGTAAAATGACAACAAAACCATAAATTCTGGAGCATCCATAAGTAAAAGGAATCTGAAAAACCTCATGATGTACACTTCTTTGGCGAACTCCTTCTGCAATTCTGTGTTCAAACACTCAGATTTCAGGATTTTGATAGCTACTTCCTGACTGCAGTATGTACCTTTATATCTGAAAAAATTAGGTAATTACTTAAGTTGCTTTTAAAACTAAGACGCAACATGAACGATCTGGTGCAGAATAAACTTACAAGTCATTGTAGGAACCAGATGCAATCTTCTGTTGAAAGTTTAGAAGCTGATGATCAATTTCCCAGACATCATTTTTGTCACAAGGTATTGTCAAATGATCAAATGCACATCTTATCACCTCTTCAGTCTGCTTTCCCAATGAGTGCAACAGACTTTGACTTTCCCAAGATTTCTGCATGACGCTATGCTGGTTAAATATTAAAATACACTACTGGCAGACGGAACTGATTGTAAACTTTGTTTCTAAGGGAAGTGGAAGAAGGAACACAAGGCTCCTTCTAAGTTAACTGCAACCTTCATTTTAATCAGTGAAAACAACCATGCATCAATATTCTTTTGGGCATGTTCTGAGTGTTTTCGTTATCATTTAGTTTTAAGGCACATGGACTTAGCTTCCAGCAATCCCTTTTTTTTATTGGGATAAAATTTCTAGAAGTCTATTACTTCAGGATGAGCACCCATAGTTTCACAATTTTTGCCACGATCCAGATGTTCACCAAATTTATCTATCCGATATAAAACGTTGATCTCTAGATAATCTGTAACTATGACCAAGGACAATGTCATGAGCAGTGGCGGAGCCACATGCACTTAAGGGGGTGTATTGTCGGAAAATTACACTGCGTAGTTAGGTAATTTTTAAAAAAAATATGTATATATACTATGTATTGACACCCCTTGACTTCTTGGTGAATTTATTTCTTTATATTTTGACCCCCCCTTGATGAAAATCCTAGCTCCGCCACTGGTCATGAGCTTATATTGCATTATGATTGAAACCCTAAGGAAGAACTCTAGAGGAACATGTTCACACAAGCGTCTCGTGTTCAATCAAGAAAAAGTCGATACACAGTTTACTTCGGCTCATAACTACTCTTTTCTCTATGACAGGCCCTATGGTTTTCACAAACCAATAAGCTTTTATGCGAACATAAAGGTGAATCTAACTGATACTCTTTGGTGACTCCTTCACTATGCTAGATCACTTTCTATCAATTACTCCATCTTTTTTTTCATCAGAAATCACAAGGGCATTCTAATAACGAAATGATGGTACTCTTCTATTCTTTGAACCCAAATATAGCTACGGCCTTAGATGTAACAGGGAAAAAGGTGTGGAAGCATGTGTGCTAGCATCTTAATATATAAAAGGGATTCAAACAAATTGTAGATTTATGTTTACTTTATTTTAGAATTTCTGTTTTTAATTTACCAAATCTTCAGAAGATTCATTTATTTGAGGATATGTCGGAACCATAATTCAGCTCCAGCAACTATTATGCTTAAGGTACACTGAAGATGTGCTCACAAAAAGGGAAAAAAGGAAGATGAAACCATCTCCAAGAGGATATTAATCGCATGGCAATATATCATGTAAAAGTAAATTTGACTGATCTAATAATTATATGCAGCAGCATATATATTGCTGTAGGACTTCATAATATCACGATAAGCTCATTTTGATTGGAGAGTGATATTCCTTCTTTCACAAAACGACTACAGATCTCTAAACAACAGTTGGCTTAACTTGGGTAGACAGAACATATCTTGGCTAAACGTTGGTGTGATAACATGCAACAACAAAAAAATGAAAGTACCTGAACCCTCATGATTTCCCTTTCCAGCGCAGTTCTAAGACGCTCAATTTCCTGATAATAAACAAATTGAAACAAATTGTTAATGTTCCAATGGAGACAAGAGATAGACATAACAAACATCTCTGACCATGTCCTAGCTACTAATCTTTAATTGAGTGATAGAATTGGCACTAAGGTATGACGACCCAATACTCTTCAAGTTGTTTTCCTAGAAAAATAAAATGGACAGGAGATACTTTTTGTAGAGTGGAAGTGTTTAGTGCATACTCAAAAAAGCATGTAAAGATTCATACCTCATAGGGCCAACCCTCAACAACAAAGACATTAAGGGAATAACCATCCACAGTGGAAAAGGCATGTGCTTCCTGGATGTTCAGACCAAGCTCAGCTAGTAATGAAGTTAGCTGTTACACATTAAAAAGTTTTAACACTATTGGTCCACATATTTTTTTAAGGAGAGATAGATATAGCAGTAGCTAGTTTGGAATAGATGTTCTTTCTTGTTGCACAACATGCAAAAGAACAAGCAGGCAGAGTTTTTTATCACTAGCCAGTACCAGCAACGGAATACTTCCTATCAAGCAGAGCATTTTTTACTAAAATAAGGAAAGCACATTACTACCTGACTGAAGAGCTTTGGCTTGTCGTCTGTTGAAAACGTAATTTCATGATTAGGCCTGCAATGTAATGACTGCAATTAGGAGTGAGTGACATGACAAAGAAAGTTAGAGGAAGGAAAGACGTTCCACCTTGATAAAAACAAGCAATACATGAAGGCAGTATATAAGGTCCTATATATGCTAAATAAACGTTTTCTAGGTAGCTATAGTGTGTCACCTAAGATGATACCTTTGGCTAACTTCCTTGTTTAACGAGCTAGAATGAACAGAATGTATTGAGTCTTCATTGGGATGTAGAGCAACGTCCTGCTAATGACAAGTTTGATTTAATCCATGACTACCATATCCTTGAGTTAGATATGGAACAAACAAGAAAGCAAACAAAAAAGGAATAACTAAGGTGAGTTGTCTCAGTCTATAATAGCAAAACCAGTAATTATTATAGACTGAGGCAACTATGAACGAATTGTGATGAAGTTTATTTGCTATGAATGCAGTTACTTACCTTATTAATTGAAGTCTTTCCTTTCCATAAATTTCATGAATGCACACAAATATTTGTCAAGCATGTCCCAGCTAAAGGAGAGCTATTAATACACCATTAGAGCAGAACATTTTTAGGGTGTGTTTGTTATGTTTTTCAATTTAATCATGTTTGGTTAACTAATTGCTTGGGAAAACCTTTTCCCAAAAAAAGATTTCCTTTCATTAGTGAAAAAGACTTCCCTAGAAATCCCGATCCAAAACATAAAGCGCTTCACCCCACATTTCTCTAGACATGATCCTATTGCTATTAATACTTCATATTCCCTTCTTGTGGGAGTTCTATAATTAAACCCCAAAAACTAACTTACGAGGTAAGGATTGTTCGACACTATATAAGGAGATCAAGACATCCATTACCCACTGATGTGGGACAACTCAATACCCCTCATGTTCAAGCCTGCAAACTGGAGCGTGGACAACATAAATTAGGCCCAACATAGGCAACAACAAATTGTGATGAGTATGTCTGGCTTTGATATCATGACAAAGAACTGGGCATTGGGCTTAACTCAACCTTAAAAATAAGCTCATGAGATGAGGATTGTTCGAGGTCATATAAGAAGACCAAGACACCCATTAGTCCATTACCCACAGATGTGCAACAACTCAATATGATCTTCACATGTGTGTATATTTTCTTACTATGGTTAAACTGAAACATTATGTTCTTGATAGATATGTACTCTTTGAAAGAAACATCATTCGGCTACTGCCTATTATTTGTGTTTTTGCTCATTGCAATATATGTGCTCTATTTTTATTTAGGCTTTTAGTATGAGTTCTTTGTTCAAAACATTTCTCTATTACCAATCTCATCTATGAAGTTCAATTTTTTGAGTACTTTATGGGGCTTAGATGAAATAAATAAAATTATTTTGTCTTATCGTTATCAAATTATTATTCTCCTTGCGACAAATAGTGAAAGATATTTTCCAGTTCTACACATCAAACAAACATAGAAAATATTTTCTGGAATGTTTTCCTCTCATCAACCAAACATTGAAAAATAAATACGAAAACCATTTATTTTCCTGAAAAACATTTTTCCATCAGTATAAAACACACCCTTAATTTCAGAAAATTAACACTTAGTTCAAGGTTTTATCCAGCTAAAGTAACTAACTCACCTGCACTAGCCGGACTTCAAGGGCAAGTCTATCAGCTGGATCATGAGCAAGATGCAGTAACCGCTTGTGTGTGAGTACATCCACTGCCCTTTCAACATTTACATTTAATGCGTACCTTTAGACGCAGCAATAAAATCCTTTTTAATAATGATCAATTATTAAACCAAAAATATGCAGCAATTATTTTTTAGTTTTCCGGTAGTATTTGATACTTTTCAACTTCCTGCATCAGTGCCGGCCAAGGGGGAGCCAATAGGGCTGTTCATAAAAACCCGAAAAATCGAATCAAATCGAAAATCAAATTAAACCGACCAAAAAAAGTGATATTTTTTGGTTTGGTTTGGTTTGGGTTTTGAATTTTAAAAACTGATCAAATTTGGTTTGATTTTGGTTTTAATCAGAAAAAAACCAAACCAAACCGACTATAGGATTAGCTATTTCAAATTTATTATTACACCTGTATATATATGTATATTGTTATACAAAGTTTCAAAAAATTTATGGTAAATATTAATAGTTTGCACTTTTAATATAGTTCTTTACCTTTACATTCTAGTTTGATTGGTAGTTTTGTTTTGTTTAGTGTAAGAATCCATTTCGTGTTATAAATAACATATTTTTAATTGAGTCCTTAAATTATTCATCACTATTTGATTCAATTATCATCAATATATTTTGGTAAATAATAGATTTCTCAAAGGGCAATTGATTTGATAGTGTTACATTGAAAATATGATCGCCGGAATATGTGTTTGGTAGTGTATGTCTTATATTTAAGAAAAAACCGAAAATAACCAAAAAAACCGACATAAACCGAATCGAGAAAAATCGACTTAATTGGTTTGGTTTGGTTCTAATATTTAAAAAACCGACTTACTTGGTTTGGTTTCTTTTAAAACCGATCCAAACCGAACCATGAACACCCCTAGAGACAACAAAAGCAATTGTTTTAGACCCCCTTAATGAAGGCCGCAATTTTTATTACTTAAATTTATATTATTCAATAATGATTATTATTAAAAAAGATATTAATTTGTTTTGGATATAGAAGTTATTTAGAAAAAAGGAGGTTATTATAAATATTAGAATTTCATAATAAACATACATTAAGGCACAATAACAGTTTGATGATGACATTGATAATAAAAAAAATAAAAACAAAATCTCTTGTAATATCTTTTAAAATAAAATAATTTCTTATAAAGAGTAGATCAAGTCATATTTTTTAATTCAAATAAACTAGTACTATTTCAAATATATAAAATTATTTTAAAAATCTACTTTAGTAGTAGTGTAGTACAAAATTATGATCATTAGATGCCGGGAACTTATAAAAATATTTTCTTAGCTGCGGATATTTCTTATAAAAAAAAATTTGAAACCTAGTGAGTAGAGTTATTAGATATCTTCGATGGTGGAAGCTAGCAGGTAACCGAGTGAAGGGACAAAGTACGTACAAGACGGTCCATAAGACTATTATTACATAACAAAAAGAAAATAAAATCATAAATATATATAATTTTATTAAACAAATTTTGGGCCTCTTCTTAACGTTCAGCTTAGGCCACCAATTTCGTTGAGCCCGCCTTGGTCGTGCATTCGCAAAAGTCACCCATTCGTAAAGCTATTTTTTAGTTGTTTTATTTTATGCTAAAATCCAAGGTGGAACTAGGATTTTAGCTCTATAAGTCCAACCTTAACGTTCTTTAGCATTAATAGAAGGTGAGATACATTAACCGCCCCTTTAAGTTGTCCCCAACGATTATTCAGACACCTCAATTGGCTCTTTTATCATTTAAACACTTCAAGTGGCTATTAACTGTATCAAGTAAACACATCATAATGACATGGCAAGTTACGTGCATTTTAGTTAAAGTTGAGCCGTGAGGCTTTTATCAGATTTGCTCTCTCTTATTTTTAGAATTAAATTAAATTTTATACCTGGGTCCCAAACCACATTATCATTTTTGCCCATACCTGTGAACGATAAAATCAGGTTTTTTCACCCAAATTCCATATGAACCTTCCTCACCCCAACATCATTATCTCCACCACCTTCCACCATAAATTCACCACCTATATTTCAACCTGGACGCATAAAAACTATAAAATAAAAACAGAAGCTCACATCGAGTTTAGCCATGGATAACCTTTAAAGGCCCGGCCGCCGATTTCAGCTGTCGATTTCAGCCATGGACCATCAAGGTTCATCCATGGATGGTAACCTTCAAGACTATTGGATTTGGCGCCACTCTTTTAACCATTGGGTTTTTAAGTTCCCGTTTATCAAAACAGAGGAAAAAAGAGAAGAAGTGAGGCAGAACAGAAATCAAGTTGGATTTGCCAACCCATTTTCTTTTCCTTGCTCTATTACATATATAAATTGTTAATTAATGAAATATTTTTTGTCCTACAATGGCATTTGCTCTGTTAAATTAGGGATGAGAGAGAGATAGGAGGTGAGAGAGAGATGGGGAAGAAGAAGAAGAAGAAGAAGAAGAAGAAGAAGAAGAAGAAGAAGAAGAAGAATGTATGAGTCAGAATCCGAACCCACGATAATTAACGAAGCTAATCCTGTCTTAAGCTAATTCATGATTAATTAGTGGCACGACCACTTAGAATTAACGATATTCAACCCTCATATGATTCGATCAACAAGGCCACGGCCCATCCCCCACCATGAAGGCGAAATTCCAACGTGGTCACGGCCACTTATTGCCAGCTCACGAAGCTCACAGCTATAAATACCAAGAGAGGAAACCCTAGAAAGGGGGCTGCTTCTCGGTCACTATCCGAGAGAGAGAGAAAAAACACAATGATATCCATATTGTGAGAGAGAAAAATACCATTGTAAGGCTCTGAACCTCTTCATGGAGAGGCAGGCCAAATCAATATTATCAATAAAGAATCTTAATGTTTCTCCTCCTAACTCTGAGTACTTATTTTCATTTCCTTCATTTGGTCCAACGGATTATTACGGTTTGCTATAATTTTTCCGTGATTTATTTATATTGTTTTATACTCATAAGGTATGTGATAACTTTTGAGCAAACAAAGAAGAAGAAGAATAGGTTTGGGCGCGGGGAAAGGTGCAGGGCTGGTGTGCTTAAAATTAAAAAAAAGGTTTTTTTTTCTTTTCTTTAATGTATTTCTTTTTAATAATAAATATCAATTTTTTTAATTACAAATTACACGTGTCATTGTTTAATTGGTTCATTTGACACGTCATTGGCAAGGGTAAATCACGCATCTGGTCTGTTGACTGCTGTACTCGGGTGTCTATTTGATACAATTAATAGCCACTTGAAATGTTTAAATGATAAAAGGGCCAATTGAGGTGTCTGGATGATCTATATTTCGCCTTAATTGAAAACCCATCATTGCAATTTTAGTGAATTTGTACTCCACATCTAGATACTACTAAAAAAATGCTAAAAACCTTCCGCCATAACAAACCGAAAATCGATCGAAATTAACAGAAACTGGTCGATATCAGTCCTTTTTTCTCTAATCGATGCAGTCGGTAGAAATAAATTTTAAATTAAAATGAAGTAAATTGGCCGATTTCAATAGGTTAATAGAGATTTGTTATTTTAAAAATAAACAAAATTGTCGACACCGGTTGGTTTATTGAGAATATTTTAATTGTTTAAATTAAATACCAGACTGATCGAGAGTCAGTCGCTATTTTAAAATTATTTTTAATAGTAACCGACCGGGTCGGTCCATTTTTTTGAAAAAAAATTCGATCTATATACCGATGTTAGAAATCGAAATTTTTCGGATTTTGGCACAAAAAACCGACCGATTAAAAAAGAAAACTTTTGCTTAATAACGGTCGGCATGGTCAGTTTTTAGCGACTTTTTACTAGTGAAAGGAACCTGGTGTTAGAGAGCTGGATCCTCCCTGCTAAGGATCCATTCACACAAATTTGTACTAGATTAGTCCTACATATCTCATTCACTTTCATTAACTAGTCATTCTCACAACATACTCTTTCTGGCAAGCGAAGATATATTTCTAACATCTCAGTAACGGACGATTAGGCGAGTCAGAAATTATTTAGTTCGAATATTTCGGGTAAAAAAGAAAATAGGATTCCTGATTATTCAGACCTTAATCGAGTTATATGTGTTGGTCAGTATAATCTCGTATATTCGCCTATTCTCCACGAGAATTCTAATTTATTATCAAAAAGGCTATTGGTTAAAATTCGTCAATATTTATGTGTGAGTATTGTCGGAGCAAGTATTTTAAGTATAAAAAAGTAATACTACATGAAGTTAAAAAGTTGAGATACTTGTAAAGAAAATGACTCTCACTCATAATAAGTGAGGAAAATCTGGTAACCAATAATTAAGAAAATGACTTTCTCAAGAAATGTTTACCATTAATGTAACTTTCATCAATTGTCAAAACTTTCATGATCTAAAGAAGTAAGAGAGCAAAAAAAATGGCAATTAGATTTTCTTGAGGAACATATATAGTGTCAGAGAGTTGCGACATTTGGAAGAGGTCTTTACAGAAGAAAAAGAGATTATATTACCGAGTAGGAAGACGACTGAAATGAGCCCAAAGTTCATCGTCGAAGCCAGGTTGTTGAGCTTCCGCGTTATTGGATTCTTTGAGCCTCCGAAGAACCTCATTGTAAACCGCCAACTTTTGACTTTGCCGAGCATTAATATCTCCGTTATTCTCCATCGTCATTTGAAGAAAAAGTTACCAAAACAATTAATGTGCTACGACTTACGTGAAGCAAATCATTAATTCCTCGCGCGCGACGTAGATGGAGATCTCATGAAGATAAAACCAGAATTCAAATGTTTTACTTTAAGGATGGGTATATATAATTATATATATGACCTACTACTATATATAGGCACAAGCATAAGTGTGGAGACGGATAGGCTCCACTTTTCACTCTTGCATCACAATTTGGAAAGTCAAAGACACTTCTTTATGATCACAAGTTTCTTAAATATCTTTTTAAATAATTTGAGTTATTAATTATGATTTATGATATTTTTTAATTTTTAAATATATATATATATATATATATATATGTGTGTGTGTGTGTGTGTGTGTGATAAAAAAAGTTACTCCAGCGATCTGTTAGGGAGGATGTACCATATGTATGTATGGGTAGTTCACCTCTCCTGAAGCAGAAGCGTTGGTATGGTAAATTTAGCAAGTAATTGGGCTACTGCTCTCAGGATAAAAAACAAGTTTCTAAATAGACTTTTGAATACTGAAGTTAATTTCATGTATTGTTATTGAATTTTATTTACAATAGTAGTAAAGTTATAAAAATTATTTTTTGTTATATTAAAGTAATTGAATTTTACCAACTATAACAGTCAAATCACTAAATTTGCTCACCCTACAACAAAGTAACAGAACTACTTTTTATTTCTTTAAAGTAAGAGAATAATTTAATAGAAATGCCATAATAGTAGATTAACCACAAACGATGCCGAAGTGCACCTTGGCACGGATTGATGAGAACAAATTAAACTACTGCTCCAATGATTTACCTGAAGTGTTCTCGCGAAGGAATTGATAAAGTTACGTTTAAATGTGTTTAGCTTAATGTATATTTTAAGTTAATAGAATTTGAGTAGAGAACATTGACATTTATTAAAAAATATTATGTATTTTAATTGTATGGAAATAATTATTTTTCTGACACTTACTTACCTTGAATGTGAACTAAGACACATCTTCTACAACCTCTAAATAAGAGTTCTGTACTGTGTTCAGCTTCACAGTTGAAATATTATGCATTTCAATAATTTTGGTTGGAATCGTTCTGTATACGGTCAAAATTGTTAGTATACTGTACTTGTAATATAAATCTGGAAATATAAATGAATATAAACAGAAATGAACATAAACAGAAATGACAGAAAACCAATTCGAGCTCACTGAATTCATAGTGTTTCCTTAAGGAATTTAATCCCCTTCTAGTACCCAAGGTTATGGATTATTTCCTCCCAGGATAGAACGAATTACACACTGGTGTAGTGATACTTCAAACCCCAGTATTTCAGCGAACACAAAGTTCGGTAGCAAATCACACTTACTTTTGGTTTGTTTGATGCTAAAAGTATGCAGAAGAAGGAGAGAAAACTCAGAAAATCGTAGTGAAATTCTGAGCAAAATAGTGTTGTATTTATAGCGAAATCTGAAGAGGTGCAACTCTTCAGAATGGCTGTTTATGCAAAATGGCCACGCATAAATGCCATTACATAAATGGCCATTTACTCAACAATAAAGGGGAAAATTAAGAGGGAAAATTGAAGAGGGTAGTTACTTTTCTATTACCAAAATAGAAAAACGGATTGGATTTAATATTAATATTTTGTTATTAAAATAAATATTCAATAACATTTCTATTAATATTTTACTATTAACAAATAAATTTGGTCCAAAAAGTTAATCAATCAATCATTTGACAAAATCCAAATCCAAATCCAAATCCAAATTCAAATCCGTATCCGTATCCGTATCCGAAGCCGAAGCCGAAGCCGAAGCCGAAACCGAAGCCGAAGCCTTAGCCGAGCCGAGCGAGCGACGACGACGACGGCGCGAGGCTTGCCTTCTTCTCAACTCTTTAAGAGCTAGAAGAAGAGCAATTGCTTATATACCCATAAAAAACCTCTTTCTCTTCCAATATGGGACAATGTCCATTTGCCAAGGGGGGAAACTTAAAATTTCACTCAAAATTTTATTTTCCTCCATTTCCCATTCACCCTCTTTTAAGTATTTAATATATTAATTAAATGCATAAAAACCCAACAATCCCCCACATGAATGGAGAATGACTATACCACGGAAGTATGCATGAAAAACTGTGTGATTCGCAAGTAAGGATTACTTGCATCTGGATAAGTAGGTTTCCCTTTGAACTTTCCGTAGTGAACTTATGTCGGATATACTCGATCAATCGGTAGATTTGATATCTTTGAACCGTCGAACTTTGGTGTATACCTAGACAACCACAAGTCACACAACCAACCCTTAACCGTCTTTGGTTCTCATTGTTGTGTTCGTTTCAGCCATGAACACCGCCTGGTTTCACAAGTGCGTAGAGAACTGGCCTTACAAAGTTCTCCTTGAAGCGGCTAACACTTCACACTTACATAGGTGATTCCTAAACGTGTCATCCCGTAGATACACTATTTGATATACCCCGTATCAAATTTAGAAATCATTAAAAAGCCTTAATGCTTTATCCTTGGTACTGAACATTGTCTCATCACGAGAATGGACCAAAAGTTTAGTTGACAATGTTGAACCGTCATTAATGACTTTGTTTGATCTCCTTGAACCTAGATCTTGGGATCTTCAGTCTTCTAGGTAGAGTTACCGCCACTATGACTTGTTCTCGGCCACAGTCCCATTCCCCTTGATGATTTCTCATCTACCTCTCTAGTTAGGCCTTTTGTAAGTGGATCCGACACATTATCACTTGACTTTACATAGTCAATCGTGATAATTCCTCTAGAGAGTAATTATCTAACGGTTTTATGTCTTCGTCGTATATGACGAGATTTACCTACATAACGCTCCCAGCCCTTCCAATTGCTGCTTAACTATCACAATGTATGCATATTGGTGCCAACGGTTTGGGCCAAAATGGAATATCTTCCAAGAAATTCCGGAGCCATTCAGCTTCTTCACCGGCTTTTATCCAAGGCTATGAATTCAGCCTCCATTGTAGAGCGGGCAATACAAGTTTGTTTGGACGACTTCCAAGATACCGCTCCTACACCAATGGTGAATACATATCCACTTGTGGACTTGGAATCAGTTGATCCGATGATCCAATTTGCATCACAGTATCCCTCAATGACCGCAGGATATTTACTGTAGTGCAAAGCAAAGTCCTGAGTATGTACTAAATACCCCAAAACTCGTTTCATGGCCATCCAATGAGATTGACCTGGATTGCTCGTATATCGACTAAATTTACTTATAGCACAAGCTATATCTGGTCTTGTACAATTCATGATGTACATTAAGCAACCCAACACACGAGCATAATCTAATTGTGATATGCTCTAGACTTTGTTCTTTGCTAATGCAAGATTCACATCAATTGGAGTCTTTGCAACTTTAAAGCCCAGGTGCTTGAATTTTTCAAGTACTATCTTAATATAATGAGATTGTGACAATGCCAAACCTTGAGAAGTGTCACACCTCCTTTTTCGCACTACACCCCAAGGGCGTAAAGGAGTTTTTCCAATTAAAGGACAATCGGAACGGGATTTATTATTCACATTCAGAGTCGCCACCTGGGAGTTTAATGGTGTCCCAAGTCACCGGTTGAATCCCGAACCGAGGAAATTATGACTCTGGTAACAGTCCGCGAATCAGAAATCCGAGTAAGGAATTCTGTTAACCCGGGAGAAGGTGTTAGGCATTCCCGGGTTCCGTGGTTCTAGCACGGTCGCTCAACTATTGTATTTGATTTTATCTGATTTCAAAAACATGATCTAGCTTATACTTTTATCAGTCACCGCTTTTATTTCTATTTTTTAATAAGAATTGCAACGTCGTAAAAATGCGCCTCAAACCACGTCGCACCAGTGCACCCGTGATTGTTAACACATTTCGACTCCGTTGGGATTTGGATTTGGGTCACATAAATGTGCACCCGAGTTTAGGAAGGTGATATTATTAAACGCCGGGCCTACAGCAGCTAGCGTATTATTAACTTTGTGGGAAGCCATGAAATTCGCTAAATGGCACGTCCCGAGGTCTAAATATTTTGATATAAGCAATTAATGAGGGCCCCGCAATTTGTGGGTTTTATTTGGCGAGGCTCGTCTCATCTATTGTTTATTTTAAAGGGCAAATCCTAAAGCAATCTATAATTTTCTATATTTATTCGTCTCTGATAAAACCCTAACTATTTATTATTGGACCTAATAGTGACTTTATACTTTATTGCAGCCACTGGGCTCCAGGACAAGCCCAACAAAAGAAAAGTTAAATTTATGTGCACACCATAAACTGACCAAGCAGATCTGGGCCCAGGCCCAAACGTACACAAGCATCCAACTGAGCCTGAGCCGTTCGTTGATGCCCTGAGACTTGTTCTTGTTGATAATAGGATACTGAGCCCAAACGGTTAAGCCAGGCCAGATTCCGATTCAGTTATACTGGATAATTACTGAAACTTATTCAAGTTGTTCAAATTGTAGCCACTACTTGCTGCAAATAATTTTAGAAATGGAGACGGGCTGACTAGACTAAGGTGATTACTAATAATATGGAGGTATCGAACTCAAGATGTTCAAGTCCTTATTCTATTCCAACTTCGACTTATCAGGCTAGTATGATACATTACTCTACTACACTTGTTCATGCAAACAACTGCAATATGCAGTCCTATTGATACGAACTAAAAATCGAAACAGTCCAATCATATCAGCCTAATACTGCCCAGTTTTAATTACAGAAATTAAACATTTGATGCTAACGTGGGAATTAACATAGTCAGAATTAAAATCCATTACACAGTCCAGTTATACAGTCCTTAGTTGATTACATACAACATTAGAGTCCTAATCAATCACAAGTCAAACAAAGGAGTTCAACAAGGGAGGCCTGATCAGCACTTCATTTCATTTCAAATGCCTGGGAATACAAGATGTGTACCTGAATATTTGAATCAAACAGAAAAGGAAGAAGTC